ATGGGCCCTCCAAAGACGAGGGTGTTATGCAGGGTGATAGTAAAAATGGCAAGAAATGGCATGTATTCTGACTTCCAGAACTGACATGAGACCATAGTGTTAGGCTAGCGCCTTGCTGTGCCAGGTATTAAGCCTGTGCTTGCTGATGGTGAGGAGGTGTGGGGCCCTGGAGAGGAGTGGCCAGATCAGGGTGCTGTAGCTATCTGGTCTTAAAGCACTGCACTATTTCACCAACTCACACAGGATGTGCATCCTGGAGGAACACTAGTGGTGGCTCTTGGCAGGGCGTAGGTGGTGACTCTCAGCAGATCTGATGCCAACCTCTGTCACTCCCTAGATCCAGAGTATCACAGATGAGTCTCGAGGCTCCATCCGGAGAAAGAATCCAGCCAACACTCGGCTCCGCCTCAATGTCCCAGAAGAGACAGCTGGTGACAGCGAGGAGAAGCCAGAGGAGGAGGTGCGCAGCTGGGGAGGTTTTACTTTAGCCAGCGGGAGCAGAACTTTTGGCCATCAAGAGTCACCTGCTATCGCTTCTTTCATCCCTCAGGTGCAGCTTATCCATGATCAGAGTGCTCCCAGCTGCCCCAGCAGCTCACCGTCCCCAGGGGAGGAGCCTGAGGGGGAGGGGGGCACAGATCCTGAGAAGGTGCATCTCACCTGGACCAAGGACAAGTCGGTGGCAGAGAAGAATAAGGGCCCCAGTCCTGTTTCCTCAGAGGGCATCAAAGACTTCTTCAGCATGAAGCCGTACGGGCCTGTGGGCTAAGAGCTGGGCTGGGGTGAACCAGTGAGCAGAAGGGGTCCTGGTTTAGGAGTCTAAGGACCCCACACAGTCCTAGCCTTGGCTTCCACATCTGAAGGCTCAGGGGCCAGTGCCTGATTGCTGAGGGTCTGCAGGCTGAGGCTCACGTGGTGCAAAGGCGGAGGATGTGGAGGCTGGGAGGGCAGCCAGGTGATAGTGGCTCATGCCCCGCTTCTTTCTCTTTTTCTGACCCCTCTTTTTTCTTTCTCTTTGCTTCTCTTGTGTTTCCTGAAGGGAGTGGGAGAACTTGTAAGTGCTTCAGCATTTTTTTTGTTTTCATTTTCTGTCTTAGGCGTCATGACCAGGGTCCCCGCTTTCCTCGCTTTCTTTCATGAACCCTCAAGGGGTGTCCCTGACCTCTGGGGTCTCTGAATAGCCCAGCTCGAGGAGGACTGGGGTCGGTGGTCTGGGGTTTTTTTCAAGGACCAGGCCCCAGCAGCCCAATTCCGGCTTGGGAGGACGACTGACTCCAACTCTTCCTGCCCCCACCCTCCTCCCAGGCTCACACGCTTCCTTCCGCTCCTTCCTCCCGCAGGAACCAATCCAACGTGCGGCGCATGCACACAGCTGTGCGGCTGAACGAGGTCATCGTGGAGAAATCCCGGGATGCCAAGCTTGTTTTGCTCAACATGCCTGGCCCTCCCCGCAACCGCAATGGCGACGAAAACTGTATCCTGGATTTAAGTTGGGGAAGAGGGAGGTGGACATTAGGGAAGCTGGGGCCTATCCCTGGGATGAAAAGGCTGAGCAGGGCCTGCGTCAGGATCAGCACCTCGGACAGGGACGCGGGCTCAGGCGTGCCCCGGAGGCGAGCTGCGTGACCCCCATTCCGTGGGGAGGGAAGTTGCAGTATTTCTCCTTGACCAGCTCTCAGACATGGAGTTCCTCGAGGTCCTCACAGAGCACTTGGACCGGGTGATGCTGGTCCGCGGCGGCGGACGCGAGGTCATCACCATCTACTCCTGAGGGCCAGGACCTGCCACCCGGGCCGAGCGCGTCCGGCCCCGCGGCCCTGGAGCCCTCGCCACGCCCCCCGCCGCTGTCACCGTTTACATACAGACCCTGTACCCGTGCCCTGGCCCCTTTCCCTGCTGCCTGAAGCCCGGAGGCCACGCCCGTCGGGGCTGACTCGAGAGGGCGCCGGGAGCGCGGAGACGGGAGCCCCGGGCGCCCCCCACGGCCCGCGGGTCTGTCGGCCCCGGCTGTGCTGCCCTTTTTCTAAGCCCGGCCTCGCCCGGCCGAGGAGACGTTGCAATAAAGGTCGGGAGGAGGCGTGGAGGAGAGGAGCTGGGGTCTTGAGCACCCCCGGTAGTCCACGCGGCCCCTTCCCCCTCCCCACGCCCCGCCGCGGCCTCGCTCTGCGCCCCTCCGCGCGGCTGCCCAGCTCCCGGCGCCCGGAGGCGCGGGGTGGGGAGGCCACGCTCGCCGTCCCCGCGCCCGTTCTCCCGAGCCGCGGGGCGCGGGCCGGCCGAGCCTATACATAGTGTACAGGAGACATCGCGTGTATTTTTAACGCCCCCATATTTATGTAACTAGAAGCGCATCGGACTTCTCGCCACGGCCGAGCTCTCCCGCCGGGGCGCCCAGGGGAGGCGAGGCCTCGGGAAGCTGGGTTTTCCTTGACATCCCAGAGTTTGAGAGCTAAAGTGCTTTAGGCCCTGGCGGGGGTCGTGGTCCTGGCCCCTCGACACCCCCGCCTCGCTCTCTGCTCCTCGTCCTTTCCGCGCGCCCCTGGCTTCCGTCCCTTCCCTCCTGTTCTTTTCGGAGATGAGGTGAGACAAGGGTCCAGCTTTCGCTGGATTCGCCTCGGCGGACGCGAGCTTCCTCAGCGGCTGCAGAAACGCGTGCGCAACCTGTCTCGCCGGCTCCTATGCAAGTTGGGGCCAGGATAGGGGAGGGGCGCTCCTCGACCCGGAGAAACCCAGAGAGGCCCGCGCCCCCCTGAGGAAGCCCCGCCCCGGTGCCTTCGCTGGGGAGCAGGCGTCTCTCCTCTGTTGGCTAGTCGCCTGCTCCCCTTATCCCATGGCTCCTCGCCAAAGACTGAAATCCCGGAGCTGGAGGGCGCCCCCTCCCCAGTTTCCTGGGACAGGTGAGGGAGGAGGGGGCAATTCTGGTTTAAGGGCCAGACCCGCTGGGAGGCCCCGGCACCGCCCCTGATGTTCCCTCCCCAGGTTCCCAGCCGCAGCTCGGGCCTCGGGGACCCAGCTGCCTACTCCCTGTTGTGGGGCTGGGCCTCGCTGCCTAGCAGCAGCCTCCAGCTACGTCTCCCAGGCACCAGGCCTGGGGGGAGGGCTGGAGTCACGTGTGCTTGGTTCTTAGCGCCTCTCTGCCCTCATCTAAGACCCAAGGCCTTGGCTTCCAGTCCTTGGCGCTTCTCCGCTCCACCAGCCCCATCTGTCGGGGAGGCGCCTTCTGCCCTTTCCCCAAGGGCACTTTACTAAGGGGGACAGGCACTGCATGCTCGTTCCAGCGCCCTCTGGGACTTGGTACAGTAACCTTTAGCCCCAGGGCCCTGACTTGCACACGTAGTTAGACATCCTGCCCACCTCCCAGAGCTGGGGCAACTGGGTACTCCTGACCTCACCACCTTCTTTCCTTTGAGCCCAAGCAGAGCGCTGCAGCTGGTGCCATCGAGACAGGGCCAGGTGTGGCCTGGGGCAGATCTGGAGGTCTGCCGCTTAGCCCAGGGCCCCTCTGGGACTTAAATGGGGGATTGGATATTCTAAGTATTAGTCAGAAAGTTGTGTTAGACATAGGAGTCCCCTGCATCCTTCTGAACACCTCCCTTGGTTCTGCCTTCTGAGGCCTGAGCCTTCTGGGCTGAAGTGGTGGGCTGGGCAGAAGGGGAAGGGGGCTGTTATCACCAATTTAGGGAACCAAAGTTGCACTATCTGGACCCAAACTGTCTGGTTGGCAAGAGCAGAGTTTTCCGTTGATGAAACAAACCTCCCACAACAAAACCCAAGTTTTCTGTGCTACATGCGCAATATTTGTTATGAATGTTACTGCGTCACTCATCAAACTATCTTTATAATCACTGTAGCTAGATGTTTCATGTCCATTCAAGTGACTTTTATTCTGAGTGCAATATTTCAATAGCCTTGTAGTGAAAACTAGTGTTGCTTTTGTTTTAGACGATCTCTGTGCAGGGCAATGCAATGAAGTTGAAAACCCTTGTAAATAGGAGAGGTTGCAAGCCAAATCAAGAGTATTTATTACTATTATTACTATTATTATTAGGCCTGCCTTTAATTTCAGTGTGTTTTAGTATTCCGCATCCGGCCTTAGTATTGATCTTGTGTTCTTTGTGCCAATATGAAAAAGAGAGGGTTGGTTCTTTCCTTTATTGTTGAATGCTCTCATTTAATGCTTTAAGGCTTTTATTGTATTTATTTTTTAGATTCCCGTCTGCACAAAATGCAATAAAAATAATTTTATTATACCCTTCACGGGCTGAGGTGTGCTGTTGGACACTTCAGGGGACCTGTGGGAGGAACCCAGATCCCGTCAGAATGCTCAACTCTGCTGACAGGAAAGGTGCACAGATGCCCCAGGTCTGGTCTGGTTTGTGTACAGCTGCCCCCGGTGTACTGTACTACAGAGCACTGCATTCAGAACAGCTCCTGAGGTTAGTGGGGAAGCACTTCCTAGCTATCAGGCCACACTGACATCCCCTAGAAGGCAGAGTCCGCACTAGGGGAAGCTCAGCCTTGCTGCCAGGTTGGTGCTGCTCAGTCCAACTTTCTATTAAGGGCTCTCCAGGGCTCTGACTGTAGATTCTGCCAATTGCCTGCACGATAGAATAGAGAGGAGCAATGGAGATGAAAGGAAAATAGAAGTTTCCCTACCCCCAGCCATCATCCAGAAAAGGCCCCTCACAATCCTCTTCCTTTCCCAGAACAAGAGAACCTACCTGCTGACATGCTGCAGGCCCACCAGAAGCAGGACGCTGAGTGGCATTACAATTAGCCAGCAGGCTTGTGCTCTGAACTGTTAATACTTCTCACTAGGTGAGCTGCACATGAACGCTCAGGTGGGGTGAAGAGGTTTTGAGGCCTGACCCCAGGTTTAAGACAAGGGGTAGGAAACAGACATCAAGGCAGGGACCCTCACCTTCTGATCCTGAGGAATGTGCCCTGCAAAGAGGTGCTATAGATATTCACACCCAAGTAAGATGAACACAGCTCTGGCTTTTTCATTTTAATTAAAAAGTAATCATTTCATTTTTTTTTAAACAACACAAGAGTTCCAAAGAGGGAAAAAACAAAACAAAACAAAACACTATATAACACAAACAGATCAGAACATTAACTGCTGCCATTTGGGGACCTTGAGTTTTAAAACCATTGTTTGCTCAGCCACTGGCGGGGACTCAGCTGCAGTCACTGCTCTCCCTCACCCTGCCAGGGCCCCCCCCAAAGACTTGATCCACAGGGCTCTCTACAGCACAATCCCCAGGGAGAGGGCAGCTTCCTTTGGCTCCATTCAGAGCAGCAGCCAGCTGCCCTCCCTCTAACAATCTCATTCTGGCTCAAAAGTTATGAACGCCGTCTGTATCAAGAACACATCCAGGTAACCAAAAGTCTGACATCAAAATGGTCCCTACCTCCTGCTGCTCACAAAACAGAACAAGAGTGTAGAAGAAAACAAAACACCTGGGGTGTTTGAACCAAAAGCTCAAAACAAATCACTGAAAAGATGAAGTGTCCACTGCCAGACTAGAGCTTCCTTCTCAGAGCTGACTCACAGGTGCTGACAGAAATATGGAGGAAGAGTGGTGGGGTTCAGGTTCACAGTTTGTGTCAAACTGCTGGTGAGCTGAGCTGTTCAGTCCTCTGGAGATCTCCAACAAAATGAAAATGAAACAAAAAAATGGATAACCAAAATGACTCCCAAAAAACCATCACCCTGACAGAGGCAGAACTCCTCTTTCTGTGGCTTCTAGGGCAGCTGATCTGAGTCCTTGAGAACGTGGGATGGGGCACAATGACACTGTGCCTGCCAGGCCTGATCTGCTCCTCTGCAAACCTAGACAGGAACTCAGCTCTGGGTGATGTGTATGAGGTGGAAAGCCTTGGTAGGTTCAAAATGAAGAAAGGTGGTGGCTACTGACAGGACAAATGGCATCTCCAAACTCAGCCAGCTGGGGCTTGGCTTCTTCCTTTCAAATCCAGCAGACAGGGACCAGAGAAACGCCATCACTTGCAAACTGAGCCCAGACACCCATACTGCCCAAGCAACCCCAGACATTTATTTTCTACCGAAACGATATACCCCCAAATGCGGTGTAAATTGATTCTGTTAATAAGCAACACAGCCTTGGGTAGAAGATAGAGCAGGTGGTAGAAACTTAGGACATTTGATGTAGACCTGGAAAGCTCAAAGAACATCCTCCAAACAACTCTACTTAGAATGAAGTGGGAGGAGGCCAGGAGAGGAGGGGGCTGGGGATAGTGGAACGATTGAGCCTCAGTAATGCCTCTGGTAAGATCCCATGGGGGCCTGGGGCCGCCCCACCTGTACTGCAGTTTGGCTAACCAGGTGGGATAGAGCAGGGCCACTCTGGATCAGGGTGTCCAGAGCCTTCTGTACACTTGGATTGTCAAAGTTAATACCTGTGGAAGACACAGGCCTCTGGCCAACCATGTTGCTGGCAGGTGCCAGGCGGCTGGAAGGCTGGCCAAAGAGCCCTTGGGAAGGAGCCCCAGGCCTGGGGCCCATGTTCCGAGCAGATCCTGCCTGTCCCAAAATGTTTGGAGGCTGATTGCCAGAGGCCTGTGATCTTGGCTGAGGCTGGTTGTTGGCTGCTGTGGAAAAATTCTGGTTCTGGGTGCTTCCGGCAGCAACTGAGGGGGATGCAGAGCTGCTGCTGGCCACAACCGTACCACTATTGAAGAGGCTGAGGATTTTGGCCTGAAGCTCTTGCTGGGAGGTGGGGGGTGCAGTTGGAGTGGGTGTAGCAGAGGGGAGCACTTGACCGCTTTGGAGCTGTTGGGAGCTTGGCTGTGTCTTCAGCGAGGCACCCGAGGTCGCCCCGAGTGGTTGGCGGGAAATCGGGCCTGGAAGATAGAAGAGGAAGGCATCTGGTTGAAAGTACCCCCAAGGGCAGGAGGCCTAGCAGCCAAGGGAAGAACAACAATCACGGAGTCACATCAACCACACAATACACAGACAATAACATCAATTTCCAAAAGGGGTCGCTTCATTGTATGTACTGTTTACAGAAAGCAGCCTAGTTCCCTAAGAGAACGGCTATAAATAAATAAACAAACAAATAGGGGGGATCCATCTTGGCCATCAGACAGCCAGCGATACTAGTCCACCCATCACCACAGTTAACTATAGGGATGAGAATTCAGGGCCTGAATCTAAAGTTATTATCGTTAATTACATCGCATGGATGGCCCATGAGAGAACCCAAAGGAGGGGCTCATCTCCGTTACCCACCCCAAAGAGCCCTGGGGATTAGAGAAATGCAGAGTCAGAACTTCACCTCGGCCCTGCCACGTAGCTCACCAGGCAGAGAGTCGGTGCTGCTCCTCATAAGCCGCTCCTTCCGCTCTCGCAGGTAGTTGATGATCTTGTCAGTCTCTTCAGCAGTGAGGTATCTGTTGTCTGCCAGCAGGTTGATGAGGCTCTGAATAGCTGGAGGGTGCCCCCCACGCACTCCCTCCTCGGGGCCTCCTCGCTCTCTTTCCTGTAGGATGGCTTCATCGGCCATCTTGGCTGCCTGTCTGGCAATCTCCTCACGTTCCTTCTCGCGGCACTCATTCTTGTAGCGCTCATAATTTCTGGCCACTAGCACCATGGCATCTGCCTGCGGCATGTTGCGATGCTCTGCAGGAGGGAATGACATGAGTTATTTTCTCTCATGACAAATCTAAGTGCCCACCTGCTGCACTCCGAGAAGCCTTTCCTAACCTCGAACAAGAAAATTATTTGTGACAAAAAAGCCTTGAGACTGGGAATGAGGTGGGGTCGGGAGGGAGGTGAAAGGTGAATGGGTATCTTTGGCGGGGAACACACACCTTTGTATAGAGTTATTTTTTTTGGGGAAATTCCTAGATCACAGACTTGTAGTAAAAACCAAAGAAACATGACAGCCTCCCACAGATTCAAACGGACCATGTGGGGAATAACTGTGGGAGGCAGGCCCGGAAGCCTCTAGACCAGCAGCAGGAGGCCAAAAAGCTCTCTGTAAAGACTCGCTCTCCACTGTGCTCCTCAGGACAGAGCTGGCTTACTGTTTTTTTAATTCATCAGTTCAAAAGTCATGGATTAATATCAAATTGTGGCCCTAAATAACCTCTTCTCACTGGTAGGCAGAAATAACCTCCACTTCTCATTGGTCTTGCAGGGTGATGACACTTCTCACAACTTTTCTTGAGGACTATTCCTCAGAGGCAGCTGGCTCGCTGGAGATTCCTGTGAATTCTACAGCATGAGTCTAATGGTCAGGCCAGTAATGATACTGGGCATGGTGGGAAAGGGAAAGTCTGGGCTGCAAGCCACAGCACGGCATCATCAGATGGTTGAGTCTCAATGCTGGGTGCTCAAAGCACTGAAAGTTACTTCAGAAAAGGACTTGAAGGAATCTGTCCTGGCCTCCTCCTTACACTCACAGCCCTTCTGCTCACTTCTCCAGCAGACTGACAAATGGTATTGTAACTGTCTCTGATATTCTGTCACTCATAGAGCTGTGTGAAAGGATTCTACTGCATTCAGTGCAGTTTGCCACAGGTGTGCCAGAACCTGTGCGCATTACTTTCCAACTCTCCCTTCAGTGATTTTGTGTTGGTGGTTTGAAACTGGATACAATGGGAGTATTTACATCATGGATATTGGCAAATGCTACAAGCCTTTCCCCCTCATACCAGAACTGGCTGTTAAACATTTGCCAGGATACTTACTGTACACACTTAATGACTAAATAGATAGTAGGACCAAAACTGTATCACAGAGAATATCAGACAAATCTGTGACTATGCAAGTCTCCTTGAGTTGCACATACAAAGGGCCCTACTGTATTTGAAGCAAAATACATGAGTCAGTTGCCCAAAACCTACTTCTTATGAATATGGCATGAACGTGCTAGTGATTACCACTGTGATTTTGGCCTACTTGGGCCTCCATACCTTGTGGAGTTCCAAACATGATGTTGACTGTACAGGAACGATGAATCTGGTGTTGCTGGGTGATGACAATAGCAAAAGGAGACCCTCCCCTGCTAACATCCTCCAAGGCTTGTGACAGTGACACCTCTGTGTTGAGGAAGATCAAGTCCACAACCATGCCTAGGTCTCGCACCTTCCTTCCAACAGACTCAGCATAATCTCTGTAAGAACAAATAGGATGCAGGTGAGAACTCCCTGACCAGCTCTCGGTGTGCCTCAGCCAAATGCATGTGCTCCTACAGAAAGCTCAAACTGTAGCTTGCTCCAGTACCTTCTTCAGGTTCCAAGAGTTCTAGGCTTCTGGAACAGATGTGACTTGCCTGTGGTCAAAGAAGAGGTGGCCAGTAGCACAGTATTTGATACCCTTCTTTTGATTCTCTAGCCCAGTGATCCTTCCTTAACACCAACCTACTGCCTAAGACTTGTGGCACTTACCCATCCCTGGGGAGGCTGCATAATACAGTGAAAAAACATGGGCTCCAATGCTAGAAAGACAGATTTGATCCCAGCCTTAACATCTGTTTGCAAAATTGTGAAGCTTTACAGAAGTCCTTTTACCTCTTACCAACCTCAGGGTTGGTTGGCTGGTTACTTATTTTTAAACCAATAAAACAATAACAACATGGCCCATCTGCTACATCCTTGACCTTCTTTCCAATCTGAACTGGATCTCTTGTATTCTCCTCTCACAGAACCCATCACCTATAACACACACACACACACCCCTTGCTGAATGAATACACATGTAATTACTATGAAGGATAAAAATAATTTATGTAAAGCACTTAGCACAGGGTAGTACAAAGTACAAAGTAAGTGCTCAGAAAATGATACTATTATCATGTGCCCAGAAAAAATTAACTAGAATTAAAGTAGCATTTGTCTCTGAACAAGGCAACCAAAGCCTATGAACTCTGCCTGCTGCTTGGTGTTTCAATACCATTTCCCGAGTCATTGCCTTGAAATTAGCTCTTTAACCTCAAACTGCTAGAAAATACATGAATTTATTTACTAACTACCTGGGGAAATGGAACACAGCTCCTGCCAAGCCTGCAAGCTGCTATGCCCTTTCTGCTTCTCTGCTTGCCTCTTCTGGGACAGAACGTAATCAGAGGTGGAATATAATGGCACTATGCACTCTGGCATGGTCAGCATGGTCATCTAACACTTGCAAGGCCAACCAGCAAGGCCTTTCACAAAGTGAGCTTCATTCTTGGTTGACAAATGCAGAGAGATGTATGCTTTACAAAGCATTAGGGATTCAAGGTTGTTCCATGAAGGGAGGATCTACTGCTATCCTTGACCAGCATTTATTCCATTCTTACTTCAGTTCACATGGTTCAACAGGGCAAATCCCACCCTTAGCTCTAGGTATGGGCACATGACCTAGTCCTGGCCAGTTAAGACCATCCTGGCACCTCTGGCCAAAGTGACAGGCTCAAGGATGAGCCAGGTCAGTTCAATGAAAACAATTCTAGGGCTTTTAGTTACAGAGCTAAAAAGACACAAGCCATTCTGTCTTTTCAAATAGAAAACCTGCATGAGAATGAGGGCAGTACCAAGGAAAGCAGTACTATGACACCAACACAGAAACCAAGTTTTGATGATACACTTTAACTTTGGATGTAGCTATGCCTGAATTTTCCCGTTAAGCAAACTAAAAATAACCTTTTATAGGGCAAGGTCAGTTTGAATTGGGTTTTCTGCCACCTACAGCTCAAAGAATTCTAACTTATCATTAGCAATACCAGAATAAGCCCAGGTTTGGTAAGTAGAAATCTGAAGTTCTCTTCTGACCTTTCTCCTTACGAGACAGAAATATGCAAAGGGTGCTTACTTTGTCTGCTTGTTGACTACAATCACAGAACAATCCACAGGTCTCTCTGCATCGAAGCGTCTCTGGATTTCCTCAAAATATTGACGATAAAGCTCTTCTCTACGTCGTTCCTCACGTTTCAAACGCTCTGCAAGATACCAGCAGAGAAAACTGAAATAAGGACTATCTTTCTGTAAAAACAAGCGATAGGACTCTCTGAATTAATCCTCAAATCTACCTCATAAAAGTAACTATTATTATCTTTACTATTATAAATTCATCAAAATGAAACTGCTAGATGAAAGGGCATGGTCATTTTAGGGGTGTAGGGGGAGTTTTGGGGGCTGGGGTTTGAACTCAGGGATTCATGCTTGCAAAGCAGGTGCTCCACTGCTTAAGCTATGCCTCTAGTCCATTTTTCTCTGGTTATTTTTTAGAGATGAGGTCTCATGAACTATTTGCCTGGGCTGGCCTTGAACCATGATCCTCCTGATCTCTGCCTCCCAAGTAGCTAGGATTACAGGTGTGAGCCACCAGTGTCTGGCTGGCATGGTCATTTTAAAAGCTTTAACTGACACATACTACCAAACTGACATCTAGAAAAGCTGTTACGAATTTATACTTCAAAAAAGGTAGATCATCCAGTGCACGTTTCTCTACACTTTGATCAACACTGGGTACTGTCATTCTTTTAGTTTCTGACAATTTGACAGGTTCAATATTATTCTAATGTGAATTTTTGTAGACTTTTTCAAAAAATTAAGTAGCAAAGTTTTATAGTACCTTTGCTACTTAGCTAAAAGATCAAATAGTGTTGAATTTTTATAACAAATTAAAAATGAGGTTCTCAAAAACATCTGTATTTGACCAGGTATGAAACAGTATTAAAACTTTTAATGATGTAGTAAGAAAAACCAGGCTTTAAAAAAAAAAAAGTTTGTTTTTATCTAAAATAGATATGCTGTAAGGTAAAAATGATAAAGAACAAACAAATAAAAATCCATGCTGTACAGAGCATGTACGGTCCATAACTATCTGGTCAGTGGGCAAAAAAGCAAATAATGTCACCAGCTCCAATCTTTTGTTCACTTCTCACTGCTGAAATTATTTTTTTATTGGGTAACTGAACCTCATGATGGTGCTAATTTACATTTAAAAAATTATTTTCAGTTAAATGTTCTCTAAATATTAACAGGCTGTTTGTAGTTTTTCTTTTTATGAACTGCCTGGACAAAAAAGTCATTAGCCTCTTTTCGTTTGGGCTATTGGTTATTAGTGTTCTCTTTCTTTTGTACAGTGTTCTACAAGTAATAAAAATAGAATATTTCCGTTACTTTACCTTTTGCACGAGACTGACTTTCCGGGCCAGGAGGTCCTCGTCCATCAAAGCTGTCTCTGTAACGGTCAAAGTAAGAGTCATCCTTTCTCCTGCAATAGTCATCCATCCGCAGGTATCGGTCGTAAGAGCCTTCTCTTCTGAAAAGTTAAGGAAATTTTCACACAGTTAAAAAACTCTGTCCTATCCTGAAAAAAACAGATGTAGAGAATTTTTAAAGACCCAGGTACCTCTGACTCAGGCACAGGATTTTGAGGTTACACAAATGAGGCTTGTAGATGGGATTCACTGTTTATCACCTCTATGGCTGTGATGATGGGGTGGACAGTAAGATATGGTGTACAGAAAGTACTCAGCGTAGTCTTTGACATAAAGCAAATGCAAAATATATTCATTTTAAGGAACCATTTCATGCCATCTCTTCCTTCTGCGCTTTTTTTTGTTGTTGTTATTTATTTACTTTTTTGCAGCACTAAGGTTTGAACTCAGGGCCTCATACTTGCTAGGCAGGTGTTCTGCCACTTGAGACACTCTGTCAGCCTTTTTATTGTGCTGGGTATTTTCGAGGGAGGGTCTCTCGAACTATTTGCCCAGGCTGGCTTCGAACTGTGATCCTCCTGACCTCTGTCTCCTGAGTAGCTAAGGTTATAGGTGTGATGCCCAGCTCTTCCTTGTGCATTTAAAAAATTGTAGTAAAGTATGTGTAACAATAATTTACCATTTTAACTTTTTCTTTTTTGCAGTACTGGGATTTGAACTCAGGGCCTCACCCTTGCTAGGCAGTTGCTTTACCACTTCAGCCACACCCCCCAGGGATTTTTTTGCTTTTTTATTTTTCAGGTTGGGTCTTTCATGTTTTTTGGGGGGGGGGGGGACTGACTCAGACCGTGATCCTATCTCCTCCTCCCAAGTAGCTAGAATTACATTTTTGAGCTACACTGCCCAGCTTAACCATTTTTAAGTGTATAATTTATTGGCATTACAACCATCACCACTATCTATTTGCAAAATTTTTCATCACTTCAAACAGAAATTCTACTCTCCCTTTTCTATTGCACCCTGGTAATATCTTATCTTCTGTCTTTATGAACTTGCCCATTCTAAACATCCCCTATGAGTGGAATTGTACACTCTGTTTTTCAGTGTTTGATTTATTTCACTTAATGTTTTCAAGGTCCATCATATTTTTATGTACCACAGAACTCCATTCCACCTGTTGATGATTGCATTGTCTACCTTGTGGCTTGTATATATAGTACTGCTGTGCACATTCATGTGTAACTGAGTCCCTCTTTTCAATCTTTGACAAACTGCAAATCTGTTTTCCACGGTGGCTATATCCCACTTTACAATGTATGAGGGTTTCGATTTGTACACATCCTGCTAATACTAGTTATTTTCTGTGACTTTTGAAAGAACGCTAACCATTCGCATGAGTGGTACCTCACTGTAGGTTTCATATACACTGCCCTGATGACTAACAACGCTCAGCGTCTTTCCCGCTATTTACTGGCTATTTGTGAATCTCTCTGTGTTTGGTACTGGCAACTCAATTTGTACTCTGCTTCTGTTTTCATTTGTAAAATGTTGTCTTTCAAAGGCCAAAGAGAGACGCAGGTACAGTCACTAAGCATAACTCATCAATCATTCACACATTCAGGAAAATTTATTGAGTGTCACACTTGGTACTTGACAGACACTGGAAAACAAGGCTGATAAACTCACTGATTGCCCTTACAGTGTTTTCACTTAGTTCAGCCACACACACAAGGCTGCTAACAAATAAGCAAGCAGGACGGCTGTTTACATACCTGTACATGGGGTCCCGAGAATCCCTCATGTCTCTGTATCGATCATACATGGGGTCCCGGTGATCTCGAAAATCTCTAGAGTCTCTTAGGTCACGAAAGTCTCTAAGATCCCTCATGTCCCGAGCATCGCGCATACTTCTGCTGTCTCTGTGATCCCGAATGTCCCTGCTGTCTCTGTGCTCCCGCAAGTCTCGGGGATCTCGAATGTCTCTATCCCGGGCATCCCGGCCATTTCTGCCATCCCTGGGCTCTCTTCTTGGACTTCCTCGAATTGGAGATCGATCACGTCTTGTATCTCGACTGTCTCCAAAGCCATATGGATCCCTGTGGAAGGCAGCAAGATTCTAAGACAACGAAACTGAAAGTAGTCAACCCTTCAGCTCTTTATAAGAGAAAGCCCCACCCTCCAAGTATTTTTCTATAAAACATGGCACTCAGACATTGAGAACATGACTAACACTTTAAGAAAAGTTACTCATCTGGTCAGCAAATAAGGTCTAGAAGGCTCCAGAATCGCAAAAGAATATGACATTAAAGGAAGAATGCATGACCACAAGCCAAAGGTTTTGAATGTGGTAAGAGTACTAATCAGGCTTCAGGGAGTAATTCAGTATCCCTTATACAGGCTAAACTATCATCTCAATTTCAACAAGTTTTCAAAGTGAAAGTGCCTTTCCCTTCAAGTCTATTTTCTCTCACCAGACTTTGTCTGAAGTGGAAGTCACACAGTAAGGCCCAAGGCTCATGAAGGAAAAAAGAGCAAATGGCACAATCATACAAAGCGATCAAGAGTAATTCTTTGAAAACCACTTAAAAATATCTAGCAGGATAATCAAATTGAGGAAATAAGAAAGCAAGTATAATACACAGTAAAGGATCAAGAACAATTAGTTCCTGTCTTAAAAAGCTATTGAGCTGCGGTTTATAGAGAATCTGGTTCCTTTCTGCCCAAGCTTTTGTTTTGTTTTTTAAACAGTGTTTGAAGTCAGAGAGATGCTTGCCCTGCTCTGACTCAATGTTTTTCATGAGACCTTTCAGCCCACTAGAAACTTATCCTAAAACATTTAAAGTTAAAACTGTCCTATTTCAACTCAATCAGTCTCATTCCCAACTCTTTCACTTGTGCCAAAAATCATCTCGAGTTACCAAGTTTAAGTCTTTGAAAGTTAGCTTTGATTCCTTTTTCCCATTAAGTCACTTGAGTCCTGTTCATTTTTTTCTTCAAATTTCCTTTAGATTTGTAAGTCCAATTCAAGTCCAATCTCTATGCTGGCACCAATAAGAATTACCAAAAAACAGTATCAAACAAAAACCAATCTTCTGGATTCCAATTCATTCAACACATATCAAACTAACCATCCTGTTACCAATTTCAGTGTGGCTTTCCTACCCCTGGGAACCCTTTTTAACAAACCCAGCCCCTTTCTATTATCCCCTTCCAGTTTCCTGGTTCAACGTCCTCAATTCTACTTAGGCTGTTCTTATGACTTCATTATTTTTCACTATTTTTCCTAAATTAACCCAAGAACCATCCAATCCTCACAGGTAAGTACATGTCCCATGTCTTCCAGGCAACCTTCCCAACCCTTTCTAGTAAGGCTGATCTCTCTCTGCTTAACTCCCAGAGCATTCCTATCTCTATTACTCATCTTGATGTGATATATATCTTTGTACAATGCCTTATGTCTGACCCACTTAAAGGATTACCTCCTCCATAAAACCTGCCCTGAACTCTTGATCTTCTTCAACAGGCTCCTCCTTCCATCCTTACTACTTCAGCAAATGGCACATCTTACTCAGTTGCTCAAGCCAGGAAACTGTATGTCATCCTTCAAGCCCCATTTGCTTTTCCAAATTCTGTTAATTTTTTCCTCTGAAATTGGTGTCAGTTCTGCTTACTTTATCTCCATTGGTAAGGGCAATCCAAAGCAAGAACCTTCTAAAGTAGCCTTCCCATTCTTGTCTCTTTTCTAATTTTCCTCTGGAAAGGTCACTTTAAAATGATCATTTAAATACATAAAACCCTTCACCGATTTCCCACAGTATTTAGAATTCAATCCAAAATCTCTACCAAGGCTGGGAAGGTCCTGCATGTTCTTGGTTCCTATCTCCAACTAGCCCAATTCTTCTGGGTTCCTTTACTTGAGCAGCAGAAACAGATCAACACTTTTCCCAGGTCTCAGCATAGAAATATCTTTTACTCCCTAATTCTGTTAGTTTAAAAGTATACCTTCTGCCCCTAAATTTTCAAGCATTTTTTTTCTTTATTTTTTGTGGCGCTGGGGATTGAACCTATGGACCTGTGCATGCTGAACAGGTACTTTACCACTGAGCTACATCCCCAGCTCCCTAAGTACTTTGTAATTATTTTTGTCATTTATCACAAATTGACATTATATATTTAATGTCGATCTGCTTTACTAGATTGTAAGCTCTAGAAGGACTATTTCTACACTATATACCTACTACACAGAACTATACCTGACACACAGCAGATGCTCTATAAATATGCTGAATGGAACTCGCTCCTGTACATACTTCTATTACTGCACTTACCAAACTGTCCCTGAAATTAAGTCACGCGCTGTATAAAGTTTTAGTCAACAACATAGGTTCCATAATATTGTATTACATAGTTATGTTACGGCCATCTTAGTTTGTATACCTTATGATGTTCACACAACAGCAAAATCACCTACCACCACATTTCTCAGAACATACCCCCTTCATTAAGCAGTGCACAACTGTACTTGTTTACATGGTTTCCCCACCAGTGAGCTCTCTTGAAGGCTTTGAAATTTTAGGTCACAACACAGTTTAGTAAATGTTAATGAATGACTTATTCTACTAAATTGTATACCACTCAAAAGCAGCACTATGTTATGTTTTGTTTATACTTCTGTCATTTACCATGATTATACAGACTAAGCAGTCATCACAATGCCATCAAGCTTGGTGGAAAACACAGTTTCACTTCATCCTCACAGGTACAGAAAAACAATTTAAATGCCAATTTCACTTCTACAAAAAGTTCTTGTTTCACAATTTATGAGGTGGAGATCTTGTTATGTTGTCCAGGCTTGTCTTGCATTCCTGGGTCCAAGTGGTCCTTCTGTCTCAACCTCCTGAGTAGCTGGGACTATAGGCACACACTTTTGTCATATATTTTAAGGTACACTAGTACTCTTGATTTGTGGGGCCAAACATATGGTAGATGAGGGAATTTAAATGAAGACAGCTAGCCATTAGTTATCAGATCAAGCACTGACTAACAAAGATAATTTCAGTTTTCCCTACTGTGTCAAATAATCCTCCTAACATATGTAACATCTGATGGAGTGTACAATATGGGTAAACATTCAGTAACCAATAGAAAGTGACAACTTCAAAGTATTTTTGGATTATTAACGAATGGCAGATAAACATGCCTTGGGAAGTGGTTAGAAGTAGTCACTGGAAGTAGGATCAGATTTCAAGTGTTCTTGGCAATCAGGACCAAAATATCATGAACCCAACAGACCACAGGCCACATATACAAAGCCTTCAGCCAGTGGAAATTCAGGTAAGAACACCAAGTCACAATATGCTACTCACAGCCTTAGGACAATTATAAATGTCATATTAGGTTCTCATTTGTATTATCATTTGTTGTGTGTGTGTGGTACTGGGGACTGAGCCCAGGGCCACACACAGGGTAGGCAAGTGCTCTACCACTGAGCTACTCTCACAACCCCATGGTTCTCATTCTTTTGAATTCATTGAAAAAAAATCTTACTTACCTGTCAGAGTCTATCCCTGTAGATTGACTATCCCTGTTTTCACAAAGTCTGGGTCCATGCTTCCAGTATGATGCAGCAAGCCCCTCCCATACCCTCAAAGTAGCCAAAGTCCATGTGTGACAAAACTACTAATTCTCTCTGAACTGCTTTCTGGGTAAAAATGTAAAAAAACCACGATATTCACAAGTGGAAAGAACCAAAGGAGTAGTGGAAATAGGGATAGAAAAGATAATTCTCTAAAATGCAAAAACAAAGCATTTTTCCTTTCTCCAAAAGATGAGCACTATGGCAGGTTTCCTTCTTCTGGAGACAAAAACAAAGCAAAAAACCCTTTAGGGTCACTTTAGGACCCGAAGAAATAACTCCTCAGAATAAGACTCCTGTGCTGACCCTACCATCTCTTCAAATAAGAACACAGTTAACAAAAAGGTGGAAGAGTGCTCAGGATTCTGAGTGCCAAGAGGACAAAGCCTCCTGCATGAGAAGTGTGACCTCAGATGATAAGCGGGTTCTAAGTGGGTTTCTGGAGTGTAATAAAGGATTCACAGTATCATCTCCTGACACCAGAGGTGCTTCACTAAGGGAAACCAGAGCAGCATACTCTCATGTACCAAGTCACTAGAGGCTAAAAAGAAACTGAACAGTAGTTAAATAAATTTCAGCAGTAGAGTCCATAACCTGAAGCAGGTGGCAAGCACAGCTAAAATTCTTCTGTGAGTTCCTATTGCTCAGCAAGGGGAAAAGAGGCAAATGCTCTTCACTTTGAGAGAAATACAGTCATATCATTAGGAAACATTTTAGAGGTAAGGGAGGGGCAGATGAAGAGAAAAACCATGGCTCAGATAACAGTAATGTGCTTCTTTTGCTGGGGACTAAAGAAACATGTGGAGCACTAGGCCTTTGAGAGCCTATAGACTGAGGACAGACAGCAGGTCATCTTAGAAGATGGTGGTGGTCCTTGAGCTGCCCTGCAGCAAGACTAAAACCTCAGATCCGGGATGATGTTCTTTGGCCTTGGCTGTATAGGTCAGGGAGAAATGTCCCCATCTTTTTCTTTTTTTTTCTGAAGAGGTCAGCATTTTCTTTCTTCCTTTCTATTCACTGCAATATTTTCCTTTGGAAGGCCAGCCTTCTTCTGACACTGAGAAAAATCATTCATCAACTCTTCAAGCTTCTGTCACAGATACTATTCACAAACGTTATCTAAATGGCTGGCTGCTGTGTGATGTTGAACCCCCACCACGATGGCTCCATGCTGACAGAAATAGAGGTAAAAGAGTTGTGCAGGATTCTGCTATTAGATGCATATAGGATATGGGGTACAGTGAGATTCACACCTCACAGATCCAAATTTTCTAAGTAACCATACTTTTCCCAAGCACAAATGTGACTTTTCTGGTGGAAGAGATGGCATTTGCTGAGAACTGCTGATTCTTCTTCAAATGTTAGAGTAGAAGTAATCATAGCCTGGGACCTTGGCTGTCTCGCACCCAAGGGGCAAACAGTTACAATGAAGGAATTAAAGCCCTGGTGGACAAATATAAGGCACGTCAGGTCATACAGCAAACTTGTCCATAGCCAGGTTATTTCTGATGAGCCAATCCCCACTGACTTTCATCAAAGACATACAAACCGTGGTTAACATCCTTCACAGTATTTGGGTGAAATCCCCTGCAGAACTTTTGATGTAGACAAGTACATTATATTTATTCTTGTCTAGGTCATAAAGGAAAGTTTAGGAAATATATTCTTACTTATAATACTTGAAAGCCAAATCTGCATGGGGATATGCTCCAAGACTTAGTTTGTTATACTGAAGATGACAACTGAGAATGTCTAGGTATAATCAGAATAATTCATTTAATGAAGATTCATCATTATTAGGATGATTCTAATGCCTATATCAGTGTTAAGACAACTTGTATGGCAACCACTTAAAGAAGTCCAATGAAATGGCCCAAGGGTAATGTGATCCAGATTAGGGATCCCTCACGCAGAGTTGTGTGTCTGGCTGAGCCAATACTGTCAGAATTATACCTTTGACAGCTGGAGTCATTAGGGCGGCACATTACTAAACACAGAACAAAGCCAGCAGAACAGTGGTTTATGGAGACATTTGAAGAGGTGATAATCCTGAGAAAACTCCCAAAGATACCTAGGTGTTTTGACACTCAAGGTTAAAATCCAGCAAAACAAAGTGTTAGGAAGGTCTTGCCAGCATGCTTAAAAACATTTTTTTTTTTTTTTTTTTTGTGGCAGTGGGGTTGGAACTCTGGGCCCCACACTTGCTAGGCTCGCTAGGCAGGTACTCTACCACTGAGCCATTCCACCAGCCCACAGGTTTTTTTGTTTTTTGTTTAATTAAAAGCTGGAAGCACTGAGGCATAAAGGCACAGTTTAAGAAAGTATCTGTTATAGGCACAACATTTTCAGTTTGTTTTTCTCCTTGTGAACAATGCACTGCCTATGGCTGGGGGCATGTAGAATCCTTGGGGCTGCCAAATGAAGGCAGCGGATTGTTGTCAACATACTGGCACATTTGGAATCACCTCAAGGCACTGATTGGAAACATGACCCAAAGAGAGAGATACCCAATATCCACCCCCAGAGAAATTAGTCCCTTCCAGGTTAACCACTCACCCATTTTGCCTATTTTTTGCATTTTACTTGTGTTTTACTAGTATATCTTAAGAGATAATGTATGAATATAATAATGACCAAAATGTTACTATTTATTTTGAATATGATGTTTGTTTTTTTTTTTTCCTGGTACTAGGGATTGAACTCACGCATACTAGGCACTCTGCCACTTAAACTACGCCTCCAGCCCTTTTGTTTTTAAAATAGGGCCTCACTAACTTTTCTGTGGCTGACATCAAACGTGTGATCCTCTTGCCTCTGCCTCTTAAGTAGCTGGGATTACAGGCGTGTACCACCACACTGAGACTGCTTTTTTGCTTATTTTTTGTAGTACTACAGTTTGAACTCAGGGCTTTGCACTTACTAGGCAGGTGCTCTAATGCTTAATCCATACCTGGATTTTGTTGTTGTTGTTGTTTTTGAAAGTAACAATCTAGGACTCCTTGCTTGGAACAATTTTTACTAAATGTGACTATCCTTCCCTGAAGCAACAGACATGAATGATCGTCTGGAACGTCATCATGTTAAATGACATACTGATGAGTCCAATCAGACGAGTGTTACCAAAAGGGAAAACTGTTAATCAATTCTGTTAGCCTAGCCAACCTTCCTACTGACTGCTAACAAAGCAGGAAGCCACTGCCCTATCCAAATTCAAACGACTTCATTTTATAACTTAGTTCTGAGGAAGGTGACATTATTTTAAAGAGGTAAAAAGGTGACTTTATATTTATGTGGTAAGGAGCTCATTTGAAAAGACCCTCTCCAATGTTCTTTATATGTTTGTTTGCTTATGGAAAGGCTACTGTTAAGAAAGAAATAAAGCTATTTCTTCCCTTACAGATGAAATTATGAAATTGCATTTTAGGCTGGGAAGAAATTAGTCTCTTTAATTTAATGCCCTGGCAATGGCATATTGGATTCCAACCAGGGGAGTTGATAATTTTCCCAAAACTGCAATGTTTGTTCAGTAACTACAATCAACCAGAAGTGTTGGAAGCATCTGGTTAAATATCATTATTGGATATAAAATACCCTTGCAATCTATAACAGAATCAAGAAGTACTTTATTTTGAATGTGTGTGTGCATGTCTTCAAAAACAAAGATAACATTAATCAGAGATTACAGGAATCATGGGAATAATAGAGAGGGGGGAAGATTTTACTAGGAGTCATTGTCTTTTTAGTTACAAATTCCATACTTCTGCTAAGCCTCCTTGTTGAGAAAAATACACATTGGAGCTCTTTGGAAATCAGACACACATCATGTTGCCTTTCAATCATTTGGCAACCACAGCTTCCAATAGCAGCCCCATATTTCTGATGCAAACTCTTAGCTACCCCTTTACATGTTTATTGGGACAGTGAGGAATACAGATGGGACTGTCCCAAATGTGCAGCACAGTTAGATGCAGCCTAATGGAAGTAGACATTATATGAACTGCTCTCCAGGCTACCCACAAATCATCTAGCACAGTATTCACCTACAAGCTGCAGGCATTCTTTGTGGCATTAAAGAGGGCAGACAGAATACCAATGTATATTTCCACCTTTGCAGTGAAACCAAGGATGGCCAGGGCATCCACCTGACAGCTGGAGTGCAACTGTAGTTGTGGTGTTGGATTCAACTTCTCTGCATGGGTAGAATGAACACGCAATCCAACTAAAATCAGCAGCATTACCTTGCCCCTAGGATCTGCATGAACTCTGCAGAGCATATACATATAGTCTATTGCCAGCAGCTAGAAAAATACCTCTCTTCATATCCAGGTAGGATATGTAGCATTCAGCAGTCATTTTTTCCTAGAAGTAGATGTTTTTATCCAAAATCAGGACAGCTATATGCTATGTGTAATTACCCATTTACATAGGTCTATACCCAAGTCCTGTGAAGTTACCAGTACAGAACAAGATTCATTGTGCTTGGCAGGGTTCAGATCACTATAGGAAATGTAGTTTACTGTGGGATGTAGTTTCTGAGGAAAAGTGGCATTTTACCTAGGGGTAAAGGCAAAGAAAGTCCACACTGAATATCCAGTGAGTCTTGAAGAGATACCAGATATGAAATATATGCCTATCTGCATTTCACACACAACTGCACACACTGCATCCCCTTGTGTGCTGTTATGGGACCACAAAGTTTGGATTTAACATACTTATTTTTTGTACAAACAGTAACATGAGTAAAGTTCTTTCTTGGGAAAAGGAATTAATTTAATTTATATCTTTAGGGCACACATCGGCACTATCTATTTTGTATATATTGGAAAGAATATATTGGGAAAATGGTCCCAATTTCCAAGAAAGCTAAGAAAAAGGGAGACTTTTGAGAGATGGAGTGTTTTGCCCTTTTTATTTCCCCTCAAACAGGTAACCCAAGCATGTGAGAAAACAAGGTATCTGCAGCACAGGCACAGAAGCAATCTCTCAAGCAGCTCTTTCCAATAAACCCGGGTTAACATCTGGACCGGCAGCCATTTGGAATGAAGAGTCGAATCTCTGCTGCCTGCTGCAATGCAGCGTGGCACATACCAGCGACCCTGGGGCACTCCTCCTGCTTTGGAGGCTCCCATTGACATGTGAGCTGGGGAAAGACAGAGGTTTCTCCTCTTCCAACTGCCTGCAACTCATGTTGCAAGCTGAACTTGCTGGGTTTGCCACCGAAAACACACAGCTTCCTCTGCATCTCCTGATGTATGTTTAATAAAAGCAGCAAGGCCCTTCACACAGGTTCATGTTCTTATTGTTTGCTTGAGCGTTTCTGAATTGTTGGGGGAAGAAAAGACCCTTGATGTATGAAGTTGGGCTTAACTCCCCATAGCCCAACTCTCCCAAGGTAACTCACTGCTTCAGGGTACTTTACCTTCGTGTGGGGCTGGGTCTTGATGGAGCCGTATTCATATTTCTTCTTTCCGCTGCCTTATTAATATCTGAAAAGAATAATCAACCCATCTGTTCAATGCTACGGAATAAAAACAAGATCATCAGCACATTTTAAATGAAAGCAACAGCAAAAAAAAAACCCTACAATGACAACCAGATGGTGTAAGAAAATTCATTCCACAGAGACACACTGTCACTTAAGCAGTTTTTATTATTAAGGTAAGACGTTACATTGTCATGGCTTGGTAGGTAAAGAATGTCCCTCAGTTTTCTAGCTAACACATACTGATTATGTCAATGCTTTAATACCCTGCGCCAAGCCTTAAACCTAACACTGCCTCTCCAAAGGGAGGAAAAGGTTATTTTTTTTAAACTACTGGAGAGTTTAAAAAAAAGTTTTTTTAAAAAAAAAAATTCTATTTTATGTTACAAAGAATAGCTGGAATCCATCATCTTAAAACTCCTAGTATTTCACAAAGCAGGGCCTCCTTTTAGTGTGCCTTGTTGCATTCCTTTGAATATAATCTTCCAGAATGAAATGCAGGAAAGAAGAAAATCATGTTTTTTGTAATCCACGAATACGACCTGTTAACATCTACAGCTTTCATAGATAAGTACCTAAGAACAAGAACTAGCGTTTGGTACAGCAGGGTTATGTAATGAAATGCTCCTCATGACAAGTTTTCATTACAGAAGGCTGGCAGACACAACTAGCTAAGGGAATTTGTAGAATCTTGTAAGTTTATAGGAATGCCAATATATGCAGTTAACATCTGCTTTGCTAAAAAATAAAACGTATGTACTTTATAAAATGAAAGTGGTTAATAAAAGCCATGTTTCAAAACATGGTAAGGCTGGATTCCAGGATTCCAAGTAGCCTGTAATCCTAGCTACTGGGGGAAGCTGAGGTTGGGAGGATGGCAGTTCGAAGCCAGACTAGGCAAATAGTTTGTGAGATCCCCTCTCCAAAACAACCAGAGCAAAATGGAAGTGTGGCTCAAGCAGTAGAGTGACTGCTTTGCTAGCACAAAGGCCTGAGTTCAAACCCCAGTCCCACCCCCCCACCCAAAAAAGAGGTATTTAAAGAAATACACTAATCAATGCCCCAAAATTTTACATAACTAACAAATAAATAAATGCATTAAAACTTGCATACTTCAGATGAATGGAGAAACGAACTGTTTCCTACTGCAGTGTAGCTTTGCTCTTCTTGATCTGTATTAAGCAATTAATAGCATATCTAATGACTCAAATGCTATTAAACACACACATAATTAGGGTGCTTTAAAGTAGTAATTATGTATTTAAAAAATCCCAAGCAGTTTCCTATCATGTTAAAGACCACAGCAATAGTAAGAAATTTAGAAGTCTGATACAGACTTCACCCTGCTATGTTGCCAACTTTTGAGTTCCTGTCTAAGTGAGAATGATCTACAATTTTATTTTAAATCAGAAGTCTCTTTATGCCTAAGATAAGGAAGGCTTTTACAAAATTGAAGGTAACATAAATCTAAATAGCCAGAGAAGTATATTCTAGCTAAATTGCTTCTCAAACCTTTCCAATTAGGCAGACACAGTATGTAAATCCCTCTACAAAGTAAAGGGGGAAAAAAATCAGGAAATATTTTCTATATGAGTTGGCCAGTAATATCTGACCATAGCCTTGGTACTGCACATGGTGCTTTTATAATGTACAACTTTCTTAAAAGTTCACAAATGTCCAAATTACTATATAATGGCAAGCCTTGTGTAATTGTGAAGAATACCAATTCAGTTTGGAAGGGCTTACTTGTACCACTTTCTAATATAGGATAGCCATGAGTCAGAGAGAAATGTAATGTCTTTGATTGTCTAAGTATTTTTCAAAGTATCACTGGAAAACTGTGGGTTTATGTGTATAAAGAATTCTTTTAAATAATTGTATCATCAGCAGGATTCCATATTTTACTAAATGGTCTGGTGAATAAAAAAAAAAGTTCCTCTAAACATTGACTAGACATTTGGGTTAAGAATACAGAATATATAGTATTCCTGGTTTTTTTTTTTTTAGACAGGGTCTTAATGTATCCCAGGCTGGCTTTGAACAGGCAATCCCGTCTCAGTCTTCCAAGTGTTAGGATTATAGATATGTGTCACCATGCCTAGCTCCACATGGTACTACTTTCATTGATAAGTGTATATTAATGCTACAACTTGACTTCTGCATATGAAAAGGAGCATTACACTGTATCTAGATCTGTGAGCACTTACATATAGGACTTACGAGACCAAAGTGGTCATATATTATATACCTCTGAGGCAAAACTGATTCCAGATACAATGAAAGAAATAAATATTTACTTTCAAGTTGGTAAAGTTTTTTTTTTTTTTGCAATTACTTAAAAGGATATTTAAAAAACATTCAAGACCATATATGTAAGTCATTTTTATTATAATTTACTTCCTAGCATCTATTTCCATACAGTAGTCCAAAACAATTATATATGTGAACAGTATGGGTTATGTTTCTTCTGGAAAAAAAAAAAAAAGAACTTTTGACCTCTCTGTCTCTCTCTTCCTCTCTTGCAGTGGTGGGGACTGAAGCCAGGGTCTTGCACATGCACCATACCAATGAGCTACATCCCTAATGCAAACTACTTTAGAATTTAGCACACTTTTAATGTGGTTATGTAATGTATTTGACTTTTCACCTTCATTTAAGTGCTTCTTAAACTTCCATCTTGGCTGAGATTTGGAGAAAAAGAGACCTAGAAATTTTTAGTAAGAATTTTTTCTCTATCCTGGAGGACCGAAGGTAGGGGGGTTTTCAGTGACAGTTGTGAAAATGCAACCACCACCATTACCACCAACCTCCATACACAAAAAATCCTAACCCAAACACACACAGAACTTTTGGAAAACCTTTGAGTTCCTGTCAATTGCAGGTAGGAAGTTCATTTAAACAAGTCTTTCTTTGAAAATGCAAATGTTTTTACTGGTAAAAGGACTTTTGAACTAATTAATTGGATTATTTTCTTCTTAAATCCTTAGAGCTATATAATCAACATCAAGGAAATAGAAATGTAAATGTAAAGGAAAAGGGGAAAAAGGTGGAAAGACAATTTGGAGGTCTTTTTGTACATTTGATGGAGAACTAAGACTGAAGAGACACTAATCAACAAGAAGGCAGTGGCAACTGGGGAGCCTTTCCAAGGAAAGGTGGAATGCCTGCTATGAACAGAAAAAGGGAACTTTCCATTTCTGCTACACTTTATCCTAGTCAACTGCCTCTAAGACCCAAAGTCAGTCTCTCAGTGTTTTTTCCATGTTAGCATGGGAGGTATATACTTTAATAATTATATTGGCAATCTGTCATTTAAAATCATCACAATCACCACAAGATCCAAAACCTTGGCCTGAATAGCTATAATTGCCAAGTGATCTTCTGAAAACTTTAAGTAAAAAGCACTTTTCAGTTAAGAACTTTTAAGTCAAGAAAAATAACACCAACTCAATGGATTTACATGAAAGGAAAAAACTGGGAGTATAATGTAGAAAACATGGTATTACATAGAAGTGGCAGAGCCATTTTAAACCATACAAAAAAAGGGCAAAGAACACCCAAAGAATGACACAATATACCTAATCTACAATTTTATTTTAGATTAACATGCCAGATAGGGCTCACACAATGGTCCTTGAGTAGCGCTGCAAATATAAATGCATGTTTATTCATGGCACCATGAACTGCTTTGCTCTAGTTATTATTTATTTATTTTTGGTGGTACTGGGGTTTGAACGCAAGACCGTGTGCTTGCTAGACAGGAACTCTACTGCTTGAGACATGCTCCCTCTCCCCCACAGCCCCAGCCCTCTGCTCTACTCAATTTTTTAACTATACCATCATAACAACTCTTTTCATCTTAAAACCAAATTTTATACTAAACAGGCTATAGCAACAGAGAACAATGAGGATGAGAAATAAGAGCAGTTATGAACCACAATGCTTAAGTGACAGTACTACCACTGACTGCTGAAAAAACCCAGAAGCCTATACAATTCAATAACTGTTTACAAATGAAATAAAACTCCCCAAAAGGCATAACTGAAAACTAACACTCAGGAGTAACTAAATTGGAATTATATGAAGACAAAAATAATGCCACATGGAAAATCATACTGACAAGACAGCAGATATTACACATTAAATTCACTGAATTTGGAAGGAAAATGACAGGACTTCTCATTTAAACTATATTTATGAAGATGACTTTGATGACATACTGTAACATTAGGGATATTGTAATGAGTTATACTGTTAGAAGTCTGGGATAAGAAAATGCTGTTTCCGGTTTCTAAATCAGCCCTTTAAACTAGAGCACTCTGAATACCATATATTCCCTCATCTTTGATTATCTTCTTCATTCCCTAATTAAAATAATTACTATATCTTTAACTGTATTAGCATAACATTTCTGGGAACAGGGCTGTAGCAAACAGTAACTGATTATTTACAAAATCCTTACTCTGTTCTCAGGTTTATACTAAGTACATTATGTGCACTATTTCTTCCAATCCTTTTATAACTCTTAAGAGTTAAGTATTATTATGGCTTCTACTGTTGCAAATGAGGGAAAGTGAGGGTTAAGTAAACTGACTTGTCTGAGGCCACACTATTATCAGAAGGCAAAGACAGGCCCCAGACCCAAGTCTAACACCAATATTTAAACATGATGTTATACTGCCTCCAACAGGGAGCGGAAAGACATGGTTTCTTCCTGATCAAATTCTGATGAACCTGGAAAAGGCCCAGTCTATGTGCAACATTTTGAATGTTTAAATGTCTCACACTGAGTAAGTAGGACTGCTTATTTAATTACCACTCCAATTTCTATCATCTCAGAGTACAATGTTTCTGGGTTTTGCTACTGACATTCTATTCACTTCAACTCTTGAGACAAATTTTTTCTTTCCTTTTCTTAGAGAGGATCTTGCTATGTGGCCCAGGTTGGCCTTTAACTGGAAATCTTTCTGCCTCAGCCTCCCAAGTACTGGGATTATAGATGTA